AGAGAGTAAAAAGCTTCTCTAGCCTTCCGGAGAGCTCCCCCAGAGACATCCTCCACACCACACCGGGAACCCCATCCGGGCCGGGCGCCTTGCCAGCCTTAAGCTTTTTGGCCGCTCTGGCGATCACCGTGTGGTGCACTTTCAAATCCTCCGTCCAGGGGTGGTGCTCCTCCTCGCGTTCCGTCTCTTCCTCAGGCGTCCCCCTCTGCCTTCCCGTTGGGAACAAAGCGGCCACCACTTCTTCCAAGAAGTGCGGCTTGATCACCTCCACCGCGGGGAGCGCCCCCGAGCCCAACTTGTTCATGACAAGTTTGTAGGGACGCCCCCACGGGTCAGCGTCAATGGAGGCGATTAGCTCGTCCCACGCATCTTCCTTTGCCTTCCTTACCGCAGCCTTCAAGATCTTTCTTCTCTCGCGGTAGGCTTCCAGGAGCTCCTCTATGGCCTCCCGGGTCGTGTGGGCTCTCCTCCTCGCCCGCTGAACGGCCCTTCTGGCAGCCACCGAGAGCCGTCTCAGTTCCGCGATGCTCTCGGACCACCAGTAGGCCGCTTTTCGCGGCGTGAACCTGGCCCGAGGCATCGCGTTATCGCAGGCCGCCCGCATGGTCCTCCGCAGCCACTGTGCCTCCTCCTCTATCGTTGGCAGCGGCTCCGGCTGGGCCCACGTAGCCGTCGCCAGCGATTCCATGAGCCCATCCGGGTTCAATTTCTTAACCGCCCATCTCGTGTATGGGCTCGGAGTCTCCCCTCTGCCTCCCGGTCTAGAGAGGACCACTTCTATAGGGAGGTGATCCGAGAGGAGCTCCAGGTCCTCCACCACCTTCCACGAGGCTACCATCCTCGCGGCCGCAGGGGATGACCAAGTCAAGTCCACGATGGACTCCCCCTGCGGCCGTACGCAGGTGCTTACCGCACCCACGTTCTCGAGATGGAGACCCAGACGATCCGCCCAGGCCTCCACCTCCCTTCCTTTGGCATCTGGCCGCCGGGAACTCCACATTGCCGACTTGGCATTGAAGTCTCCGGCGACCAGTACCGGCCCGGGAAGGAATTCCCGGACCAAGTCCTCCAGCTCTTGGAGGCGTCCCTCTATCTCAACTCTGGAGAGGCCGGGTCTAAGGTAGATCCCTATGACTACCAATGGGCCCCATTCTACCGCGACCCAACCTTCTCCAGCTTTGAGTGTTGTCCCGGGGAGACTTCGTTCCCCAGTTCTCCTCCACGTAATCGCCGCCGTCCCATCCGTGCTTTCTGCCCAACACGGGCTCTTGGGGACACGGTATGGTTCGGCGACGATGCCCAGTCCACAACCACGCTCCGCCAAGCTGTGCAGGAAGATATCCTGCGCCTGGCGGGCGTGGTTGAGATTTGCTTGTAGGACCTTTAGGGCCATGAAGTCGACGGCTCCCCGGTCTCCTCCCGACCGCTACCTTCTTTAGTTGCCTGCATGGCAACTTGTGCAGAGGATGCCGCATCCGTTTTCACGGGCTCATCCGCCTCCTGTACCTCCATGGGGACCTCAGATGTTGTCGGTCCCCTGCTGTTTCCTTTAGCCAGTTTGGCCGCTCTCTTCTTCTCCCTTTTTGAGGGGGAGCGGCACGCGTTGCCCCCCGCTTTGTGATTTGCGGGGAGTCCTTTGGCTTTGCAGACCACGCAGTTCGGCATCGCGGTGCAGGTCTGCGCCATATGACCTTCTTGTCCAAATCGGTAACACAGTGTGCTCCTATCCACCGTGCTTTTGCACTGTTGACGGACGTGCCCCCGCTCCAGACACCTGAAGCAGGTCAGGGGCCGTGCCTCCAACAGTTCGATTCTAGCCGCCACCCATCCAATTTTGATCTTTTTGGCGGCCGCTAGCTTCCTCGCTACCTCCAGCCGGCATTGGATCCAAGTGGATCCAAGCCCGCTGGGGGTTGTCCTTATGCGGCCTACCTTGACTTCTTCCGGCGGACACCCTCCCGCCTTGGCAATTGCCGCTTGTACCTCCTCCTGAGACACGGATTCATCGAGATCCTTTAGTCTCATTTCGGCCATTTTGGCAGGGCGCGTCACCTTGATGCCCCTGCCTTCCACGACCGATGTTATTTTGCTGGCGAGGGCATCCGCCTTCGCTTTAGCCTCCTCGCCTCCCGGGATTTCTAATAACATCGCCCCAGTGAGCGCTTTTCTGGGCTTGATGCTATCAATCCCCAGTTCCTCCAACTTGACCTGCGATCGAATGTAACGCATTCCCTCCCCGGCCTCTCCCTCGGGGAAGGTAAGGGCCACCGCCGCAGACCTTGGGGCCCTTCTCTGTTTGGGGGCCTTTCGCTCCCCTTTCGGCTCCTTCTTGCCCTCTCCCCCTTTACTCTGGGGCTTTTGGGCCGCAGCCTTCTCTTTTGAGGCGTCCTTAGGAGTGGGAGTGGGGGCCTGTTTCTTCCCCTTTCCCTTCCTGACCACCTCCACCCACGACGTGCCGGGTAGCTCTTGCTTCCTACCTGCCGCAGGCACCTCCTCCTTTGGGAGTTGGGCCTTTTGGGCCTTTTGTTTGAAGGCCATTTTAAACGCCTCCTTCCCTTTGGCCTTCATCTCGCCCTTCACCACCTCAATTTTGGAGATGGTGGGCAGCCTTTTGTCCCCCTGTCTTCTGGCCGCCTTCTGCTCCCCGGGTAGTAGGGCCATAACTCCCTGGCATCTTGTGATCAAGTTTGCCAGGTTGGCCCCTTACCTCCCGGGGTTCCCCCTTGGTCACATTAGCGATGGAGACTCCCTCCATCACCTTGCGGACATCTTCCATTGCCCTCTCCATCGGAGGCTCCGGAATTGCCTTCCTCTTGCCCAGAATTCTGGGGCGTAGTACTGGCCGCGCAGTCCTCGCTTCTTCCGCTCTCCTATCGCACTCCGCGACCCGTTCCCTCAACGAGAGGGAACCCGTCGCAGCGCGGGTCTTTTGTGATGCCCTGGTTACGGGCGCCGGGGGTGGGATCTTGGGATCCTCTTCCATTATAGAACCCCCAGTCATCGGCGCACCAAGGCTCCTCTCCCTCTTTAAGGCAGCTGGTGAGCTCCGCAACTCGCTCCTCCAGCTGTCTTACTTTTTGGCGGAGTCTTTCCAACTCGCGGAGTCTTTCCAACTCCTCGGTCTGCCCTTCCCGGGCGTCCCTCTCAGTCGAGATGACCCTCGTTGCGGCACGGAGGTTTCTCGCACTCTTATGTAGTTCTCTGACGAAGGTCCCCTTAAGATTCTTGGATCTATCGGCGACCTTGTCCACCACCTCTATACTGCTCCACATCTCAGCTACCAGCTGAGCCTTGTTAAGCCCCTCCATTTGGCGGACTATCTCTCTTTCAGGAGTGAGGCCTTTCGAGAAGACCTTCGGATTCCGCACGTCCTGAAGTGCCTTCTTTTCCGCTTTCAGACTACGGATCTCCTTGCGGTGCTCCATCTTTTTTCGTTTTTTGAGCCCCTCAAATGTGGTCGGGGGACGCCCTCTTTTCTTCTCATCTCTTCTCCTAGTCTAAACCTTGCTAACCTTTGCCATCTTTCCTCTTTCCATCCCTTTTTTAGATACTCTGGTATCCCTTTTCCTTTTATTCTTTTATACCATATATTTGTCCTTGATCTCTCTATTTTCCCCCATCTTTCCTCTTCTTGCCACTTCTTTTCTCTTCTCACCAAATCCTCCCCCCTCAGTTCCCTTTCATCTCTTAACTCCTCTACCTCCTCTATTTTCCATCCTTTTTCTCCATAAAAATCTCTCCTCTCCCCTTTCCACTCTCCTGTCGCTTCCCCCTTCTTCGCCTTACTTCTCCACTCCTCCCAGCACCATTTTGCTATTTCCCCTCCTCTTCCTTCCCCCAGTTTCCTTTCAAAACCCTAAGCCCTCATCCCCGCCCTCCCCCTCATTTTTCTCTCCCCAATTCCTCCCTTACCATATATCCTGGCGATCTCCAGCTCACTCCCGTTATCCATTTTAAGTATCTATCCTGTATTCTTTCTATCTCCTCTCTCTCTCTCCATCCCCATATCTCTACACCGTAGCTTATTACTGTCCATACCAATCTATCGAACAGCCATAGCCTTATCGACCAGTCATCTTTGAATCTCCTTTTCCCTATTCCCCATGCCTCTCTCATTACTACCGCTCCCTTCTTTACCCTCTCCCTTACGTGTTCCTTGCTCCTTCCGTTTGCCATCACTACGTACCCTAGATATTTGAACTTTCTAACTTCCTCCAGTTCTTTTCCCCTCCATTTCCAATCCACCTTTTTCCATCTTCCGCCTCCTTTTCTACATCTCATTATCTTTGTCTTTTCTACATTTACTTCTAGTCCTTTCCCCTCCATATATTCTTCTAATCTTTTTATCATCCTTTTCATTCCCGTCTCGTTCTCCGCCACTACTGCCACATCATCCACATATGCTAGAGTCCATATCTTTCTTCTTCCCACATTTCTTCCTCCCCAGCCTTCCTCCTCCAATACCTCACCCATGTCTGCCAACATCAAGGTGAACAGACACGGGCTTAACGGGCATCCCTGTCTTACTCCCCTTTCTGTCCAAAATTTCTTCCCCTCTTTATCCTCCACCTTCACCCTACCTACCGTTTCCTTCAATATTTCTTCGCATCTTTCTATCAATCCCTCTTTTATTCCTTTTTTCCTCATGCACTCTATCAATTTCCCTCTATTCACCGAGTCAAAGGCTGCCTTTAGATCTAGGAACATCACCACCATCCCTCCATTCTTCTCTGCTACCTTCCTGTTTATCATATAGTTCAAACTATATATCTGATCAATCGTTCCCCTTTCCTTCCTAAATCCCGCTTGACTTGGCGGTAGTACCCCTTTGCTTTCTATTTCCTCCCTCAGCCTATCTACCAGTACCGTTGCGTATATCTTATATCTTCTTTACAAAAATAGTGTCTCCACAAAAATCTTCTGTACAAAAATATCGTTTCTACAAAAATATCTTCTCTACAAAACTATCTTCTCTACAAAAGTAATGATATCAACAAATTGCGCCAAATAAAACAACGGATATTTATACAAACTAGTTGCTTTAGCATTAGGGTCTGATTAAAAAATGTTATATTTCTTAAAAACTCAAACTAAAGATTTTATTGAAAAAAATAATGGAGTTAATAATAAAACACCGATGAAAAGAATAGCAACTGTTTAGAAATTTAGAAACTCTGTATCTATTCAGGCGAATTAAGGCCTGTGTCCATGACGCTAGTACTTGGTCCAAGTTCTAGTTTTGAGAATTGCGTAGCCAATCAACTTACAGCTTTTGTGGGACAGTTACATTGATTGGCTACATATTTCGCGGAATTAGAACTTGGACCAAGTACTAGCGTCATGGACACAGGCCTTAATTCGCCTGAATAGATACAGAGTTTCTAAATTTCTAAACAGTTGCTATTCTTTTCATCGGTGTTTTATCATTAACTCGATTATTTTTTTCAATAAAATCTTTAGTTTGATTTTTTAAGAAATATAACATTTTTTAATCAGACCCTAATGCTAAAGCAACTAGTTTGTATAAATATCCGTTGTTTTATTTGGCGCAATTTGTTGATATCATTACTTTTGTAGAGAAGATAGTTTTGTAGAGAAGATATTTTTGTAGAGACGATATTTTTGTACAGAAGATTTTTGTGGAGCCACTATTTTTGTAAAGAAGATACTTTTGCAGTAAAGATATTTTTGTAGAGATTCTACTTTTGCAAAAAAGATAGAGTAACAAAATATATTCGGTTGAATTGGAGCTTAGACTTGGTGCTTTTTTTACCTTTTTTTAAAAAGGTAAGTTTTTTACGTGATATCACACCTTTTGTAGTTTAATTTAATTATAAGTTTCCATACTAATTCATTCTAAGATTTGATGTACCTTGCAGATAAAATTCATAATTCGAATTGTCATCATATGTCTACATCACGCATTTTCATGCACTACACATATTTGATGCATCTTTTCTATTTACAAAATTGGAGCATTATAATTATAATTCTGATTGTCAAATGTTTTCTGTATTACACGATACATAAAATTTTTAAATGGAATTCTGTCTCGAATTCTGTTGCGAATTATAGATCGTGTAAAGTGGGCTTTAGACATTAGACACGTCTAATTGTAAGAAACGTATTTTAAACTAACACGTGCTGCCTGGGATATGTACAATAATATTGCAACGGTCAGACATTTTCTGAGCTAAGATTGGATTAGAGGAATAATTCAATTTCAGCACTTCCAATAAAAAATATTCTGCTAGCTCGACCAATGTTACCTTATTATAATTTAACAAGGTTTTCTGAATATTGAATTGTAACATTTACAAGACATTACGATTCAGCGGCCATTAGACGTTTTTGCAATATCTTATTAACGTTGATTTTACAAATCGTAACAT